TTAAGGGCCTACGGATACCTGACTCACAAGGCGAAACTGGACGCTATAGTTGTTACACCGTTACACGCTAGTTTTCTGTTCTGATTTTCCCCTATCACATAAAACGTATCAGTTATGTAATAATAAGCAATCGGCGCCGCCCCTGGACATCAGCAACGCCAGAGAAGAAACGAGCGCAATTCCAGCCTTAGGGGATAAGATTTCCATAGATTTGGGGATTGTGGTGTGATGAAGACATGGGAAATATTGGTACTCCAGTATCCTCTGTCACAACTCGAAACACAATGCTGCATTTGCTTCACGTCGGTTTTCTGTGAGGTCGTGTTATCACTCCGGTCGAGCCAACCCACTCGTGCCAAAGTTTGACTCTTCCACACTTACATGCAATAACAAGGTTGAGATAATAAAATAAAAAAAAATCATGGAATACAACAATATTACAGACTTAACAATTACGCTATCTTTATAAGTCTGTGATTGGGTCCGAATCAAGAATATTATATAGAACACTGGATGTTGCCCCTACAAGAAATTATTGAATCCAAGTTTATTCACCTTTCGTATGTTTTTTATCTCGCTCACACTTGAATAAAATGTTGCCATAATAAAATGACTTTTTACCTTGGTAACTGATCATAAATATATGACCAAAAGAGAGGCACACATATTTTATGTTTATTTTTAAATCCAAATATCAGCCTTAAAAATTTAAACAATTTAAAAGTTATTCATAGTTTATTCAGGCTATTTTAAAGTTGTTTTTTTATTAAAATTATTTTTAAGTTTACCCACTTTTAAACTTTTAACGTGGAGTTCAAAACTTGTAACACTGTTGGGGTAGTATTATCCAAAATGGCTACTCTGTCAATTACTTTTCGACTACTCGAAGTGTTTGACTGAAGTATTTCGAGGATTTGTGAATTAATTTAAAGTGCCTTAATATGTATTGCGTAGTCAAAGATTGTACAAGTGTATGGAACCCAACATGAAATGTCATCTTTCACAGGTAAGTCCAGAAATACCATATTTTAAGTTATACATTATCGTTACCTATTTTATGCCAATATTTAAAAAATCTGTAAATATTTACGTTCGAAACGGTGTCACAAACATTTATCTAGTAATCTTTGTCATCGTTTAGAAATTTATATGTGTAAATCGCATTTAATTATTAAAAAACAGGTACGTTTAGTCTTAGACGTCAAAATTGTATGTTTGTAAACAAAGAGCTAAAGAGTGACCATATTTTTTAAGTTAGGTAGATACTTTTTGGTTTGTGGAATGGTTGAATTTTATGTAGGCCTCGTTGCTCTTATAATGAGACTAACGTATTATATCTGAGGGTAAAACAGAAAGGTCTTCAAATTTTAATAATTAAAAGAGTGTTGAAACTAAGGTTAGAGAGGTCCTGCTATTTTGCTCTAATTACAGTAAATTAAATCAGTCAACTCGGTTAATATACAATTAATTTTATGTTTCAGTTTTCCCAAGGACTCGGAAAAAAGGCAGAAATGGTTGTCTGTTATACCATTAAAAGGGAAGTTTTATGAATCAGCAAAGATTTGTAGCTTACACTTTAAGCCGGAGAATTATGATCCATTAAGACCAAAAAGGCTTTTAAATAGTGCTGTTCCGGTTGATTCTGTACAATTATGCTCCTGTGGTAATAACGTTATGGTAAGCATTTTTTACATTTCACAATGTGCTGCTTACCCATCCAACAATCATGTTGAGAATAATATTTCAAATTACAGGCATGTAAAACACCATTCAAATGCTTGGTTTCACCTAATGCAATGATACCGACAGAAACTGATACTTGTTCCAGTGTCAGGAAAAGAACACAGCTGTTGCGAAAAGGACATACACATCATACAAAATGAAAATATTGTAAGTATTTAACTTATTGTCTAGTATTAAGGTATGTTTTTATCCTTTTCAAAATTTGCTGCTTACATACCTAGCAATCATGTTAACAATAATATTTCAAATTACAGGCAAGTACAACGCAATTCAAGTGCTCGGCTTCATCAAATGAAACAATACCAACGCACAACACACACAGTGAAAATATTGTAAGTATTTAATTTATTGTGTAGTATTAGCTTGTACTTATGGCATAGAAGTCAAATCAAACCTTCAACATCCAGGTTAGGTTTTTTTGGTTTTTTCACGATGTAGTAAGCTCATGATAGACATTGAGACCTTTTGATCATCTTAGTTGTTACTGATTATAATCTTTGTTCCACAGGTAGTTGATGAAAATGAACCGCCAGCGAAACGACGCCGCTTAAAAGATGAAAATGTTCAATGTAAAATAAAGTCACTCGGGAAAAGTGTTTGGAAAAAACGAAAATAAATTACAACAAAAAGTTGCGCGAAATGAACAAAAAATAAAAGATTTGAAGTCGTTAGTAAACATTGTTCGTAATTACAGAATATAACAGAATTCATAGTTCATAAAATTTTCCAAAAAAACGCTTGTAACTTTTGTCATCAATTATTAACTACCGAAAATGAAAAAATAATATGATCATGATTATTTTGTTAATATTAATAGACATTCTGCGTTTACGACCTTTGTAAATAGGGGTAAATTATGTTTCGCATCTGATGCAGCGTTCGAGGTAGTGCGCTACTCAGATAGTTTTTTTAAGCACTCGGTATCCAAAGGTATACTGTACAATCGAAATTAGTGTTAGCGGTCCTGGAAAATTTTTATCCATTGTTGCAGGAATGATTTGTGCCTAAACATCCAATCACTGATACTTGTATGGATTTACACGAAACTTTATTTTTTTTTTATGTAATCGGTCGGCAAACGAGCTGACGGATTACCTGATGGTAAGCAATCAGCGCCGCCCAGGGACACCCGCAACGGAGGAGTTACGAGTGCGTTGCCGACCTTTTAGGAATTTGGGATTTGGAGATTTAGGGATTGAGGGAGGGGAAGGATTGGGCCTCCGGTAGCCTCACTCACACGGCGAAACACAACGCTGTGGTTGTTTCACGCCGGTTTTCTGTGAGGCCGTGGTATCACTCCGGTCGAGCCGACCCATTCGTGCCGAAGCATGGCTCTCCCACACTTAAAAATAATAAAATGTATTTCGAAACTGAAATAATAATTATATTTCGAATAGTGTTTTTAAAATAAGAATTCATTCTTATCTGAAAACTTATACTCAAAAGCTTTTGGGTGACATTCGCACTAAAAGGCAAAAATTGCATAAAACTGTTTTATTTTCACACGTGTGATATAAACTTGTGATTTTTATTAATAAAAATGGTTTTGCACTGTAATTACTTTTTTTAAATATCTAGCCCGCTAGCTAGCCCGTGCCTATGGTGGCTGAAAATCGAGATCGGGATCCTATCGTCAACACACATGATCTTACATTCGCCCTCTTTCAATATGTATAGACATTTGTTATTATTTAAATAAAAAGGACTTGATACTAGGCTTTATGATTTGGAATAAAAACGAGGACTTGTAACTGTTTAAGGAAATTTATTGAATGGTTGATATCGTGTGAGAAGTTATATGGAAGACAGAGGAGTTAGCGATAGCGTGACGAGTGACAAGACAGAATGGAAGAAAAAAACATATTGCACCGACCCCAAATAAAACGGGACAAGGGCAGAAAGATGATGATGGTTGATATCGTGGACTGGTAAGGACTTATGAAATCAAATAGGTATTGGCTTTTAGCTGCAAGTATTTTTTAAGCTTAAATGGGAACTTATCAGCTTGACTTGTTTTCAAGGGGTGTTTTTGAAAGAATACCTATCATTATAATTCTTATTGTTTACATACGTAGTATATCTTTTTAATTTGTGTTGCTTACCTGCCAAAATATTTGTGTCAAGTTTAATATCTAAAGAAATGATATCTAGATATAGCAGTATTACTGTTAAGTGTTAACAGTTGTGTGTATACGTAAGTACTCTTAAGGGTGTATTAAGATAACATGCGCTGAACACGCACAGCATCCGCGCACGCTTTGTGCTCGCCTTAGACCTAAAACATACGCAAGCGACGTAAAGCGAAGGCATGGGGCCGGCGCAGCGCAGGCGTTGGACAATTCACAAACATGCGGTAAACACTCATTAAAACATCTGTTATTCCAAAATCAAAATCGATCTTCAAGGCACCAACCGTTGTTTCCTTATCAGCATAAGAACAATTTCTACATTTAAAAAATGTTTCTGGCCATGAAATGTTGACAAATATTTAAATATTTTTTATAATTTTTATGTAATGCCAATAAACGTGCTAAGGTACCCTCAACGCATACGGTATGTTGGTGGCATGACGTAGTTTTCTCGATCAACGCAAATGGTGCGTTGGTAGCAACGAATGGGATAATGAACATACGACAGACAGACAAACATTTTAGCCATTGTATTTTTAGCATCAATATCGAGTTATCGACTACCAACCCCTGATAGTTATTTTGAAAATATATTTAATGTACAGAATTGAGTTCTCTACAGATTTACAATTATATGTATGTATAGATTACTAAACCAAAACTAATACGATCGAAAACCACACTAAAATAGAAATGTTGAATTTAAACAATCATAAATATGTACAAAATATCCTAAAGCTAGTAAAAATAGTTGTCACCCTGATGAAAGAGATGCAAAACATAAATGACGTGTATCAAGGTCATTTTATTAGTCCTCAGTTCTTTTTTCTTGGTGCAACATCCAGTGTACTTTATAATATTCTTGGTCCGAATATGGATAATACACTGAATACATTGAATGATTGGTGGTAATGGGTCTTCACCAATAAAAATTGTATCGTAATTCTCAACAGAAAGAACAGAAATGTTTTTTCTGTTCCGTGATCCTCAAGACCCGATTAATGAGTGCAATGTGCGAGTGTAAAAATAAATTAGGCTGCATATACGTTACCATTGCATTTTCGTGTAAAATACATATTTTTGTACCAGTTGTGCCAACATACGATTAATAATGTGAATGACAGTAATAGGAAAAATGACATTTGGTGGGCTGGATAACCAAGATATTCGCGCCAAAAGTGTTTGTTATTAATTAATTACTGTTTTGGTGTAAAAACTTATTATTTGAAGATATCGGCATGGTAAGTGTTTTATTATACACAATGAGCCATTAACATAAGCGTAGATATTTCAAATTATTAAATCATGTCGTCTCGGAAATATAAATAAACCAGTGTTACCAACTTAATCGACTTTCATGGCGATACGCGATGCGACGAAGTTGAGTCTTCCAGTTTGTAAAGCTTAATTTGCAATTTAAGTAATTGCTCTACGATTGTAATGAATTTCCAAATAAACTGAAACGTTGTGTCTGCGGTATATTCGGGGAAAATTATATAAAAAATCAAACTATGCTGTGTCTATTAGCTGGACAGTTAACAGCTACGTGTGCCCTTACATTATTATTATAGTAACAGTGGTTTGTGAAAATGGTAACGTCTAATAAACAGCCGGATAAGAAAATAGTGAAAATGACGGAGCAGAACACTGTCGCTGTTGTGCCCCAAAGGACCTTGCTAGGTGAAGTCAATGAACATATAACATGTCCGCTATGTCGAGGCTATTACATAGACGCGACTACGATAGTAGAATGTTTACACTCTTTCTGTCGAAGTTGTATTATTAAACATTTGCGAGCGAAAAGCTACTGCCCTGTATGTGAAATGATGATAAATTCTGCGAAGCCCAATATTAAGCTAGACAAGGCACTTCAAGACATTGTATATAAGCTTGTGCCAGGACTGTTTCAAAAAGAAATGGAGAGGCGACAGCAGTTTTATTCTTCGAGGCCAGGCCCTGCTGCTACTGCCACCCCTGAACAGAGAGGTGAAGATACAGAAAGAATAATTTTCAGTCCTGAAGATGTGATATCATTTTCTTTAGAGTATGCTGATGCTACTGACACTGATAGTATATCTAGTAAGTCTTCAGACAGTAATGAGCCACAACCAGTTCCAACAACACCAAGACGGTTTTTGCAGTGTCCTGCTGTTGTGAACATTAGTCATCTCAAAAAGTTTTTGAGTATGAAATTTGACATTGATAGTACTCAATTTGCTATTGATATTTTGTACAAAAGAGTTCCTTTACCAGATTACTATACTTTGATGGACATAGCTTATATATACAACTGGAAGAGAAATGAACCAATGAGATTCTTCTATCAAATTACAGATTATGTTGCTATCAGAAATAGGCTATTTGAAATCAATAAAAAAGGTTCAGCTTCCGGGCATCTAAGAGATAGAAAATCAAGTCCAGCATTAACTGAAGACACAAATATAAGTAGTCCAGCACCTCATTTAAATGACCAGGGCTCTGAAGCATCTTCAGGTACTGATAGTCCTATGCCTGATGATACAAATAGCCAAGCAGGTGACAGTGCTAAAAAAATTGAAAAATCAGGGCAGCAAACCAAGAGTTTAGATGAGTCTAAAAATGTTGAAAGACAATCTGATGCACCTAAAAAGAATGATGATGAAGTTGAAAAATCTCAATTTCTCAACTCCTTTGAATTGACTGCAAAGAGCATGTTACCACATAAATCATCACCAGTGAAATCTTCTGATGAACAGAGCACATCTAATGAAGTACCATCCAAGAATCAGCCTAAAGATTTGTCCCCAAAAGTAGAAGAGAAACTTGGAGAAACATCTAAAAGAAAATTTCAAAATATGCCTCACACACCTGAATTGAAAAAACTTAAAATAGAACTTGAAAAAACAAAAATAACTGGTTTAGTTACTAGTGCTTCTGCTACTGCTACAACAACAAACACAACAGTCTCGAGTCAAAATAATAAATTAGAAGACACTCCAATAAGGGGGAAAGATATTGAAGGGACTTCTAAAAACTCACAGATATCTTTAAATACAGCCAGCATACCATCACCTATGGCAAATCCTCCAAAAGAAAATAAACAGCAAGCAGTGGGTGCAAAGCAACAAGAAGCTCCTGGGGTGAAAAGAACAGTATCATTACCTCAAAATATATCATCTCCAAAACGGAAACCACCAAATGATGCCACTTCTGCTACACAGCCCCAAGGAACTCAGAAAACAATTTCCCCACTCAAATTACAAATACCAAAGCCTGAAGCAACAGCTAATCAAAAACAACCAGAAGTACAAAAACCCCCAGTCAAAAAGATGCCAGATTTAAAACCTAGTATTCCTATGTCAAACAAAGGTCAACATGTCAATAAAGTAAGAATGGATCTTTTAGCAAATAATAGTGATCCAACTATAGATAGAAGTAAAATATTGTCTCAGGTTAAATCTTCACTTGGCTCGCCGATCTCAGGAACTCAACAATCTGGTGATCCTTTGAAGTCTTTATTTGATTCATGTAAAATTAATATACCTTCTTCATTATCTATTACACTAACTGATCAGAAATTAGATGCTCGAAATGCTGCTGAGGCAGCAAATGCAGATCAGAAGAAAAGTATGATAAATAAAAACCTGGCTGGTGCTAGTAACACTGCCCATAAAGTTCCAAGTCCTCCCGTTCATAATTATATAGAAATACTGAAATTACCAGACACAGAAACAAAAAATAAAAAAGGTGAAACTGCTAATGAGACAAAACCAAGTCAAGCAGGTAAAAATGATAGTACTTCAACTCCAACCAAACCTCCTACAAAGTCATCAGAAAGTTCTGCAAAAGGCCCAGTTCCAAACTTGAAACCTATTTCTGATACAAAATTAGGAAAACAAAGTGGTAATTTTTCAGCCCCTATTACATTTCAACAAACTTTTGAACAACAATTACAGACCTTACAAACTGATAAAAAATCTAAACTTACGAAAAATAAAGCCCAAGTTCCCAAATTGGTGCCTGCAACCCCTAAATCTATTAGTGCTGCAAATAAGTCCAGTAATTCTGCAAACAAGCCAAGTACTAACAATATGCCCATATTAGAGAACAAGCCTAGCACTGCTTTAGATTTATCAACTCCTCACAACTTACAAAATCAGTTTCCACAACAAACTTTACATAAGGCCTTTGAAACTATGCAGTCTATTGACAGTTTAGCTAAGAAACAGAATCTGCCTAATAAAGGAATCCCTCTGAGTATGCCACAAAACAATGTTTTCCCTAGCAGTATTACTAACAGACCACTTAACTCAGGAGTCAGTCCATTAAGGATTCCTTCAACATCTAACTTGGGTCAGTTAAAACTGGATAAAGCCAGTACACAGATAAGTAACAGACAGGATATGTCTAGTACTAAAATAAATCCAATGAAGCCCACAAATACTGGTAATTCAAATATACCATCTCCAAGCTTTCAAATGGCTCCTCACACATCGCCTAGTACAGCACAACCTTCGCCTAGGTCTCAAACGCGTTCCCCTAGCTCTTCTCCTAAGTTAGTAATAGCAGAAGATAAGCAAGCAGGTAGCTCTGGCTTAGAGCAAAGTCTAAATCAGTCAGATCAAATTACAAGTACTCAAATATCCAGTATGAACACAAATAATGAACAGCTAACAGGGCCACCAGGTACTTCAAAACCTGGACTGAAACCTATGCTTTCAGCTGGAAGGATACCAGGAATAAGACAGCCTTTGCCAACAAGTCAAAAAACAAGTCCTTCTTTGGCAGCCTTGCCTGATTACAGACTGTCTCAAACACGACCACCATTGATTTCACCTCAACATGTGTTACTTAGACATCATATGGAAGTAAATGCCTGGATAGAAGCCCAAAGACAGTTGGAATTGATAAAGAGTATGTCAACGAATATTGCTCACCAGTCACAAAATGACTTCAATAATAAAGACAAACAGTAATAAGGTTTTGCTACCTAATTAAACTACTTTTTTTATATTGCTCCTAAGAAATTAATTAAAAGGCGAGAAATTCTGAGTGATGTTTTATTGTAAGTGGTAATAATTTTTACTAATTTACAATAGGTTTTTGTTTGATGGTATATGAAATTCGCAGAATTGATGAAATTATGTATGTATTTTGATGTGTGTGTTATTAAGCATAGGTAATGCCTGCCTGTTACTTAAGTGAATATTGTGTTAAAAGTACTTCAACTATACTTTTTATTCATTTTAATCTAATAATGGAGGCTATCCACTCTAGGGTACATGATGGTTTAAGTAAACTTTACATGCATAACCTACAGGCAAGCCCTAGCATGTATGTAACAACACGACAACACTATCACCTAACTACCATAAGGTATGACTAGAGTATACCTGACAGTTATGGGTGCAAGGTACCCCAACATGTATAGCAGCCAAAAGGAATAATAATATACTTATGAGTTAGCTAACTTACTTTTCTTAAGTGTTTGTAATGTATATTTTGATAAACCAAAGTTTGTATTAAAACTCTGGAAACTATTACATTACTTATAAATTTTTGTATTCGTAAATTTGGTGATATATGATGTATGTTTATATTATTTACAAAATTCTTCAGTTAAATCTAATTTTTTTATAAAATCGACATCAATATTGGTTTAGGAGGTGCATTCCTATATAAATGGATGTAAATTACAAGGAAAGCTTGTTTTTAACTTATTATTTTGTACATAAAATCAGTTATTTTAATATAAATCAATTGATATTTTTATAGTACATTTTGTGATCTGATGATTGTATGTTTATGTTAAATTTTGTTTTTTATAATTTGTTCAATGTTATTACAAGTTTGGTGGCTAATTGTAATGAGCCAACTGATGATTTTGTTAATGGAATTGTAAGCTTATACTTATTTAAAATATTTTATGAGCAAACAATGTGATTGGAAAGGACAATGAAAATAATTTAGCTCTATGTATTCACTTTTACATTCTTAAACATGCAATTTTTTCTTTGAAGTCATAATGAACTGGTCAGCATTACTTTAATAAAGTATGTAAAAGTAAAGTGATTAAAATAAAGCACTAATTGCAATACAGCACATGTTACAAGTTGTAACCGGTAAATACAGTGTGGCTTATTATATGGCAATGTCTTTTAAGAAGACTAACCAGAATGCTTGACATGACTTTTCATGTTTTATCAACTTTTGATTTTTTTTATCAAAAGTCATTCAATTTACATTTCAAACATTTCAAAATAATTAATTACCATCTGCTTTTATTTTACATAATTAATTATAATATTAGTCTTATTCTTAACATTATCAGTTTTATGCAAAAGGTGTGTTGGAAATGTAATTTAATTTCTAATAAAAGTAAGAATATCTTAAAGTTGTTTTTTTTTGATCCCTAATAGACTACTTTCTACCCCAATACTTGTCAACCTATAATATTTTTACAATGAAACTAGAGCATGAAGAAAGGTACATACTTAAGTATGTTAAATATTTTTATTGGCTAAGAACCTTATTTATAAGTTTCACCTCATATTGCAGATGGCTGGAGTTCAGGCGACAATTCAATTTAGGTCTCGCAAGAAGGTTTATGTGGATGAAGACGTTACTAACGAAAACAAAAATATATTGAATATAAGAAAAACCAGTGAAAGGAAATTAAAAAGAAATATTGGAGAGGATATAAAGAAAGACATTGACGATGGTATTTATTGTCACTATTTTTCATTATAAACACTTATAAATTACTAGCTACCTCGCCATCCGTCGCCCTCGCTGCTCGTCTCCTAAACATCGTAGCGTGATAAGCCTTCCTCGATAAATGGACGAACAAACACAAAAATAATTGTGCAATTTAAACCACTAGTTACAGATAAGCGCGTTCAAACAAACAAACTCTTCAGCTTTATAATATTATATTAACAACCATATTTCTTTCAGATTGTACTCCTGTAAAGGTATCGCGGAAAGAAACCCTAGCGAGAAAAAACACACCAAAACGAGACAGGTATGAAACATTTTTTTAATTGCACGTTGCTTTCTTTGGTTGCAAACTCGCAAGTGGCACTGCAGCGCAAAGGGGTTTGAATGGCGGCTTTAGGTACAGGCCCTTATTGTTTGGGGCTCATAACATACGTAACTAAGTAAATGGTGAGAAGTCGGTCTAAGTACCTACCCCTTGGGACATGAAAAGTGTAACGGCACAAAAAAGAAAGGTCAGGACAAAGGGTTAGAAGGAATTGCTTCTTCTTTAGATTCTTAATCTTTCTTAATTATTTAGAAGGGAAAACATATTTCATGTTATATGACACAAATAACACAACTACCTACTTAGGTATTTGTGCAGCAAATAGTATCATCTATCTGCGTGATTGGCTATTTTGCTTGAGATTAATCGCTGTGATCGGCAGTAATTGGGCCAGCAGTGATAAAATGTTTAGGAGCGGTGCAATTTAAGTACTTAACTGTAGCACGAATCACGAATCTCAACCTATTCGCAATCTTTAAATTCCATAGCTTTAGTTACCAACGTAATATATAACTTAATCACAGTAGTCAGTGAAGTAAGAATATTGTATGTACTTGTTATTATTGCCTCAATGGTCGAGAGGTCCTCTTTGTAACTGCTTGATAGAAAATTTAGGTTGAATATGATGATTACAACACTTGAACATTAGATACCGATTTTTATTTTTTGAGGAGGGAAAATCATCACATGGTTTCTCTCGCCCAGGGTGAGGTGATCTAAAGAGTCAGGCTAAGGCTAAAAGCCACCCCGTCCTTTCTCTTGCTCTAGGTCGGGGCTCAACCTCGGCTGTACATCTATTGGCTCTTTTAGGCGCGGAACACTATGTGCCGTACTCTCGGGTCTGGTTCTGGTCGGGCGGCGAGTTACACTTGCCGCATACATATATTTATCCATACTTAACTAAAAGTATCTCAATTTTTTACAGTGAGGAGCAAAATCTGAAACCTTTAACTAGCAGAGAGAAAGAAATCGGATGGTTAGATAACTTCTTGACTGAACACCTTGACAAGGAAGAGTCTGCTTCACTCTACATCTCAGGTCAACCTGGCACTGGGAAAACTGCTAGTTTATCGTACATTTTAAACTTACCCAAGGTACGTATTAAACTAAGTATAGGTAAAGAAAAATAACGAGTGTTCCAGGTATAGGTGCACCGAAAATGTGACATTTGTTTTACATTTTCGTGTTTTAGGTGTGTAATATAAAAAATAACTCTTGAAGGTTTCGGAGTATAGGTATTTATAAGTATTTAACTCCAAAAAATGTATTTGCTTTCAGTTCAAAGAAGGATACAAACAAGTATATATTAACTGCACCATGATGAAATCAGCTGCTAGTATCTACAGCAGAATATGCAAAGAACTCCAGTTATCAACATCGGGAACAACAGAGAAAGCTTGCTTCAATGCAATTGAAAAATATTTAAAAAAGAAACACAAAATGATGTAAGTTTTATAAATTATACTTAATATAAAAACACGCGGTTTTAGGCGCCATAAATACTATAATCTTTACTAATTATAAGCTTAAGCTTTTTCCATTAATCACCAACCACTGATGATATGTATTTATCGCGAATAATTGAACCCAGACAGCAATGGCGTCTTTTGTAATACTTAATAGAAAAAACTTTTTTCTTTCGATCTCAGTCATTAATAATGTTGTGCATTATTTTAACAAACAATTAATTTTTTCAGACTTTTAGTATTGGATGAAATAGATCAACTAGACAGCAAGCGCCAATCGGTTCTGTATACAATATTTGAATGGCCTGCAATGGCCGACTCTCGCGTGGTATTGATTGGCATTGCCAACGCATTGGACTTGACGGAGCGCACGTTACCACGACTTCAGGCTCGTTGCTCTCTCCGCCCTCAAACCCTTCACTTCGCACCATACACCAAAGAACAGATTGTCAATATATTTACCAATGTATTGGCTAATGAAGATAAGAGTAACGTGTTCTCTCCAGTCGCTTTACAAATGCTTGCAGGTAATTATACTTTGCAATATAAAATCATGTGTCATTTCCTATAACGTATGTTATCTTTCGCGCAAATTCAACCCTGTTGTGACGGGATATGCCAGTTGACTAATAAGTCCTGCAATAAACGATATTAATATCCCTACTTTTCTGACACTATATTTATATCTATTTCAGCTAAAATATCCGCGATATCAGGCGACATGAGAAGGGCTCTAGACATTGGGCGAAGAGTAATAGAGCTCGCGAGAAGGACAAAGTTTTCAGATAATCAGTCCATTGACAATATGATGAAAGACTCTACAGTTACTGTGGAGTTGAAACAAGTTTTAGAAGTACTAAACGACGTATACGGTGGCTCGCGGAAGATCGAGTCGGACGCTGAAGATGGATTTCCATTACAGCAGAAATTGATCTTGTGTAGTATAATGTTAATGCTAACAAAAGGGAAGGTGAAGGAAATCGTCATGGGGAAGTTGCACGATGTTTATAAAAAGTAAGTTTAAATTCGATTTATTTAACGTCCTGTCATAATACGAACTAAAATGAAGGGTTTGGAGGAAGGAGAACAGATTTTTTCCGTGATTGCTACTGTGCGACCTATTCACTTAATCAAATAGTCACAATTTAAACCTATGTGATCGCAAGAACTTCAAGGTAAAGCTGTTCACGATCATTCTAGTTAACGTTACTTCAATCAACAATACATAAGTAATTCTAAGCTAAGGATTTTGCACTCACGAAGATATACAAGGTTATACAAGGTTTTGGATTAAGCATGGTATAGAAATACCTTAAATACCATGGATTTTATTGTATTGAAGGATTTTACACTCAAATCCATTCGATTCGGATTTCAAATCCGATTATTCTATGATATTTAATCATAGTCTTTACTGACCTGACGGAAATTGTGTAGGTACCTATGATATTCAAGAAATTCGGCAGTAAACGTTCTACAATTTTGTACAAATAACTTTGGTGTGATTATGTTAGTAATGAAATATTGTCGTGCAGGGTGGCGTCGGCTCGCAATATAGTGGCGCTGGATATGTGCGAGATGAGCGCGGCGTGCGGGCTGCTGGAGGCGCGCGGCGCGCTGCGCGTGGGGCCGGGCGCCAGTGCGCGCGCGCGCCGCCTGCGCCTGCAGTGGGACCACGCCGAGCTCGCTGCCGCACTGCGAGACAAACCTCTTCTATCCGCCATACTCGATGACGTCACCTGCCTACCTTCCTAGCACCTTTGTCACTCACACCAACTACAGAAATTCCTAGGTTAGTTTCTAAAATTTGCATTACTATGTAGTCCGACACACCCAGTTGTTTTTGTGGGTTAATATTTTTTATGTACTAACTAAATTGACTGCCAATTTTAAAGATTTATGTTATTTAAATCTTATTATGATTAACGACTCGAATTTGTTAGTTAAGATTAGGGGCCCGTTTCACAAAGTTTTATTAAGTTTCTGCTAGTCAAGCTGACATAACAATGATTTATTATTCATTCAAAATTTGTAGTTCAAGTATTTGCCAGTCTAACTACAGGGATTTAATGAGACATTGTAAAACAGACCATAAATGTTGTTGTTATTGTAGGTAAGGACATGTACTTGTTTGCCCTAGTGATTGCATCTAAACACGTTGAGTGCCTTCATTTAAACATGAAATACTAGGCTGTGTGTATAAATGATGAGATGAACAGACTGTATCTGTTAGCTTTTAAGAATTATTTGTTATTTAATACACGATTGTTCATTACATAAGTGACTTTAAAGTATAATGTTGTACAAACAGTGAGCACTTCTAATTTACTGTGTAGTTATTTATTTAGCTTGTTTATATGAAAATGAATTGCAAGCAAATAGACCATTCCATCTGTGAGGTGTTAAGGTCAATGGCTTATATAGTTTTAAATGTTAAGAAAATCCACCTAATAGCTTACCTATTTTTAGATGCTAATGTTGATATGCCGATATCTAGTGCTCACTCGGGTATTGGCAAAGGCTAATAAGAAATATAGTATACTTGCATAATTTGGGAATAATACTTTAGAACAGTATTTATTTATATTTAATTAATGTAATCACTGATACCGAGTAATCAATAGTTTTAATTATTTTCACCATATATGTGTAAAATGTAGATATGGGTTATTAGATAGCAATATTAATTATTGCTCGTAACTGCCAATAATATGTGCGACGTTGTAAGTTAGATGTTTGGTTTTCCACGCTGTGTACTATAACTATACTTACTGTATTCAATTATTTCCTCATGCGTATAGACAGCCTGTTTATTTGGTTTGCAGGAGAAAAAATAAAGACAGAAAGTAATAGTCGACACCACCAAAGATATCCAATTAAGGGCTGATTTTTCAATGTTTAGAAGTTACCTGGGGGGTAATTATGATGCTGTCGATCAAAATGTTTGTATAAGACAGTGACAGCAACATATTCCTCAGATATAATTTATCTAATTATTGAAAAATCAGCCCTTTATAAAACATCCTCCATACTAAATAACTTCCATGATTACCTAGTTCGTAATATACGGAGCGGCGAAATTAAACGAATATTATACAATATCTAGGTATTTATAAGTTTGACACACGATCACAATTGTTCAATTAACTATTGAATTTGATTTAAACTTGGTAAGATACTGACATGGTCGAAGTATGTGCATAATAAATCCTTTATTATTAAATGTCAATGTATAAGAAAGCCGTTACTCGCTAGAAAACTATTGCTAATCCAATTATTTTCTTTCGGTACATTAAAATCTTTGCTAATTGCTAGAACTAATAAGAAATATGAGTACCTGCGATTAACACGCTTCATAAATGTGTCATGAACACGAATTCATGTGGTACACTAGTAAAAGTGATGTTTTATAGACAGCGTGGTATGTGTTTTTGTATTTTCTCATATTATATGAAGATATAAAAGTCTCGGCAGTTGATTCATGTATTATTGTTCGACAAAATAAGTAAAACTTTCTTGACCTAGCTCGCTAAAGTCTAGAAAGAAAGCCTTGCGTTTAGTGTGCGTTGTGTGAGAATATGTTATACGGGTGTTTGTACCGTTTTATTACGTGACGAGATTTTCCAATTATGTAATTTTAACGTGTTTTGTTTCGTTTTATGTCGTCTATTAAGTTCTTTAAAAACTTTTTAAATCGTTTTATCTATTACTGTATAATGATCGTGTCTTGTTAGTTTATTGTGACCTTTTTTTAAACTTCGATTTTAATTTGGTTGGCGTTTATTATCTTGAATAATGCCCTATTGTTTTTTATTATTTTTGTACTCATATAATTGACCTAAAATCACCTATCTAGTGTCTTTGTAGTAATTATGTAATGTTATTTAAAAAATCCAAAGTTAGGTTAAAATTTTGTCAATTATATGTATGATGAATTATTTTAATTGAGTGGTATCTTTCAATAAAAAAACTTAAATATCATATTATTTTTTATTTATTCTAACACTTAAAAAGTTAATCCTATTTGTGCAAAATAATACTTTTTACAACATTTTTAAGAGTGAAATAATTTTATAATATAAATAACCTGAGTGGTGGAGAGCATGACCGACGAAATAATTTAAAAATTAGCACCAAGATAAACCTAGGTTTTCAAGGTCGTGAATTTAGAACCCTTAAAGCTATACACGGCTTTGTATTGACGTAACCATACTCAATAAGATCATATTATTATTTCACTCTGTTATATTGAGGATGTAGTTATGGCTATCATTGAGTAAAATATCCAAATTATGAACAATTTGTTAATTTAATAAATAACTTAATAATAGATAGACACTTGGTTTTGTACAATGTCAGCCATCTAAAGTACTAGAAGGCGAGAGTGCGATATAATTAAGAGTTTCATAGGCGGAGGCCAGGGTTGCGCGAGCGCACGAAGTTAAGCAGCTCGTCGCTGTCCTCGCACACGAACGGCTTCACGTGGTGGCAGGCCACATCGTGCCACTTGATGCCGTCGTTGTAGAAGTTGTTCAGGATCGCCAGGCAGGACTCGTCGTTACCCTGCACCAACAAAACAAGTAACTCAAATGTTCATGTTCAAAGTAGGTTATCCGAATCAAGCTCAATAAAGAGGATTGCAACAAACCTGAGCGGCTTCGCGGTTGTCAGGCTGAGGTTGGCCGTATCCACCAGTGTAAGACCAGTCACCAGTGTTACGCTGGGTAGTTTGTCCAATCTTGGCGCCGGATCCAGACCAGAACCAGCCGTTGACATTGGGGGGCTGGAGGTCAGCGCGGTCACAGCCGGCGAAGTTGCATTTGCGTCCCGAAGTCCAAATGTATCTGACGTTTCCGCGAGCAATCCTTTGTTTCACGAATTCATTTTCCTATAGAACATATAAGCCTATTAATAACTCATAATTATATTATCATGGCTATTTTAACAGGCCGGTAGGTGCATAAATCTTTATACTTTTTAAATTAATAATATTCAGAAAACAGTAATGTTGTGTTAACTTAGTTGGTAGAAATAAGTCAATATTTATTTCAAACCACAGGCTTTCTTTTTCCTGCTTTCTTTTGTAAATCATTTATAAGTTTTATGGTTATTGAGGTTATTTAAACCGAAGGACCTGCTTTAAACACGAGACGAACAGAATATCAAAATGAACGTGTATTACAAAACTAGTTTCTCCTACTAAATGCCAACGACCGCCTAACATATAATGTCTTGTCTCCGCACACACAAATACTTAAACTCCTTTGATTTGCACATTGCATAGATTTATCATGACATGTGTAAGTAGATGTGTACCTAGGTAGCAAAGGTCTGAATTGTAAGGCATGGTGTCATGTGTGTTAATGTCAACGACGGGAAGTCCATGTCCGTCGCGTACGTCCGGCACAAGAAGTGGGCAACACGGCTGCGGGAGGAATTTGTGCCACGTGCTACTTGCCGGCCCGATCGCCTCCGCACAGCCGACGTCACGCAGTCGGCCGTTGCACCCCTTTCACGCGACAACGTCTTCAACGCTCTACAAATCGAATCAATCTATACTATTGAATATTGATGCGCGCAGTATAATGACTCAATCAATGGATGTAGGAACATACTAATCTGCGAGATTCCGGATGTATATACCTAGGTGCCTATTCCATACAATTGCGTGCCAAGAAAAACCAGAACCAAAAGAAAATGTTCAAGAGGTTGTTTGCCATGCTTTCATAACAATAGACGTGCGCGTTCGTTGCCATCTTACAACCGACAGGAAGTGTTAGAGAAAACTTGCGTATTTTCCATTGATGACTTACCCGGATGGTACTTAACAATAGACAAGACTTGAAGACACCTATTGAAACAAGTTAGATGCTAGCTAGCATTTAGAACCTATTAGGTATTTTTACCTACTTTGTTATGATAAAACATTGACTATAAGTACTTCACTAATTTAAAGAAGTGATGTCATTCTGCAAGTATAGGTAAGGCAAAGTACCTACGACTACTTAGGTGGATAGAAATACCTACCTAATTCTTCATCATAAATATCATAACATTACTACACTTACTTAGGAATTTCTTAATAATCTGAGTTGTGATTTAGTGCAATCCAAAATGATGAAATCTAGCAATTCCACGATATGACCATTAAGTTCATGCAACACCTACCTACATCGTTTTAATCTGAGAGTTCAGCTGCTTTGTTCCCAAGATTCAACATTGTGAAATACGTTTTTGTAGTAGATATAGCACTTTACATTACGAAATAGGTACAAATTGCTATTCAAAATTAAATTACTCCTGCAGGTGGATCATAGCGGGGAAAAGACATATAATCACGATCGACCTAGTTGTTCGTCTTAAATGACCGCAGATGGATAATGAAGATGATTATCTCAAGGCTCATCCATATTCAAGTGAGAATGTGTGCGCTCAACTTCGACTGCGACCCGGTCGGATGGTCGTACTTAATAGATCGTTCACATATTGTCTGTACGAACTTTGTTTTGCAATAAACATTATATTGTTGGGCTGCTAAGTCCTTGAAATTTCACCTTCATTTTAGTTTGAGTAGCTTTTATTCTTTTGTCTCTCTCCCTTCTTCTTCATTATCGTACCTGAGGAGTTTCTAGAGAGACGGCGTCCATGCAGTGACGACGACAGATGTTTCTGGCGTCCAGCCAGTCTACCTCCAGGTTGCGGGTTGGGGCATGCTCCCAACTGAAGAAGTAAGAGTGCAGGACTCCTCGAGCGTCGCGGTATGTCGAGTGACGAACTCCTGCGAGAATAAAATGAATATTTGGTCAGTTCAGAATCAGTGAAAAATATATGACACTCCATTAAATAGGTATATAAGTATCATCATTGAGCATATCTAAATGTACCATTTACTTTTACTTAATGGTATCTTTGAAAGACTGCTTGGGAACTACCTAAGTACCTACGAATAGTTGTGCAACATTCCACATGAAGGTAAGTGGTGACTGAACGAAGTAGGTACTAACTTACTAACCTACTGTGCCTGCCTACAATAGCATGTCACCTATTGAAGAGTTGATGACGACAGATTTAAGTAGTTACTTAGAATTTCGAAATGGTGTTTATCTGAAACGTCTTGTCACAAGTTTGCCATTTGCACAACACCGCACGTTGTCCTGATTCACACAACCATTGCGGTAAATCTATGTGACTTTTATGTGTGCCTACTATTATCTAAGGCCATGTATCTATTTGTATTAGAGAGACGAAGAGATCAATGAAGCGAAACATCTAAGTATTATCGTACTTAATGCAATGTAATGTTGTAACATTAGTAAGCACGGAGATTACAAAGCATTTTATAAGCATTAGGTGATAACTTTAGTGGGTATTATATGCGAAATGTAAGTGATAATTAGCAAAAATCTTACATCTTTAAAATATTTGCATAATAAACAATAACGCTAGTTGTTCACGGGTATTATTAAAACTCTCGCTTTAATGCGAGAGACATTATCGTTCACAGAGTGTGCAATCAAAACGAGCCCATCGTCATGTAGTTAAATGAAGCGATTCTTTCGTAACTAGAAAGTGCACATATATTTTCACATGGTTAATTACACGCCAGATAAAAATTCGCGTAACTAATATTGACAACCTCATTCAACTCGACAGTTGTATGCCGGAACCGTTTGCGTATCTTCCGTAGAAGAACGTAATTTTACGAATGTCACTTTACGTAACCGACAAATAGTGAATGGCAGAGCGTGAATAGATAAATTAAAGTTATAAGATATTGGTAAGTGTTTCCATAGTAGTTGCGTCCCGTGGAAGCGCAGAAGCGCTATTATGTAATTTGTCAATACCTGTGTTCTTTTATATTAGAACCTCCCAAATCTAATAGCTACAGTAATAGGTACCTCCATAAACATGATTATTGTTTATCTTTGTACGTGTCCACCAAACATGTTTAACAACGACCATTGTTATTTCGCATTTCTGAGGAGAGAAAGTTGTGAAAGAAACCATCGTGTCTAGCTTCTCATTTTATGTGATTGCAAAATTATTCAAAAATAAATTATTATAAACAGGTCTGTACAGCAGTATTCAAATTATAACGATTTCGAAAATTTTTTTTTTTTTTGAAATTTCTATTAATTCGTCGTAGGTAGGCAGGACTGTGAGAAATATTTTACTAAACTGGTGATATCGAGGTATCTACGTAGATTTTAGGTAGGTACGATACATAGGCAAGGGGCCACATAAAGCTAACAAAGATTCTTTGTTTGTATTGTTAGAGGTTTGCCAATGAATAAATCGTTCGATTGTGATTTCAAGTGCTCGCTCCCAAATGACATTCGCATGGGACGCGCACGCCACGCCTGTATGCAGGTACTAAATTGCGACACATCCAGTGATTTCCCATAAGGACTAAGCTACGTGAACTCGGAAAGTAGATTTACAATAGGAAATAACAACAAACTAAGCACTGTAGGTATTAAAATATCACGAAACAGGAAGCTATTTATCTACCTACGTCTGAGGATGGTACCTAACATAACGAAAGACCTAGAAATAACTTGTTATTTACTGACCTACATAGGTATCCTCGTTACATATATGGCTGCCATTGACAACGTTTGCAAGAGTATTCTCATCTCTTAACATTTGATTAAACTAAGTATCTAGATAGGTACTTACTTATTGCGTGTTGTATAAAATAAAGCAAGGCATGACGAAGTTATAAGAAGTGAAGTTACAGACTTGTTCGAAAGTCTCGTCTTTATCTTATTTACGAGTCAATTATTACATTTTTGTTTTCATTTCTCTGTATCGTGACAGTTGACGGTAAAAAACCTAGAAATTCCCTTGGAGTATGATTTACTAGATCCGGTGTTGTTTGAAATTACTCGAACTTTTTGGAACAATTTACGCAAGTCGTTAAATCCGCTAGCACTATAATTCGACTGTAAAATCGTTCCATTGAACTTTAGGTACCTAATTTAAATCTCAGGTTGAATTTACAACGGTAACTTTCTTTAGCGTTGTTTAGATTATATCGGACAGCAAGAATCTGATGTAACAACTTATGAAGAGAGCTTAAAGTAGATTTAATCCCAGCACGAAGCCGATTATGCCTATCTACAGCGAACTGATCTTGAGTCTTCCTAGCAGACTGGTCGACGTTATGAGGCTACCTTGAGTTAATTTCCGATGTGATTCCGTAAAGTTTGAAAGTTCAAATAAATATATTAGGTATCATACAATTGATTCACTTCTTTGAATGACAATAATTCAGATTCTATATGTAGGATTTCATGACCGTAAAGAATAAAAATCTCCCACCAGTTCAAACATCTTATGTGCAAATAAAACAACAAACTGAATCACGCGAGTTTTTCTTTAGGTAGTCTCATAGGTACTAATAACCACAGCCTGTAATAAAATTCTGAAAATGTAAGTAAGTATATCATTGTCTTGTCAAATAAAAACAATCGCACCGAACACAATTAGCACTGAGCAAGAATGCGTTACGAAGGTGCGTGAGATGCAATGTATGGCCTACTTTGGACTGGTATAAGACGTTATAAATTCATGTTCACAAAAGAATTCTCACCAATAAACGTACTAGAAAAAGGTAGACAAAATACTAATTAAAGTTAACATGTTCAATTTATTAACACGAGCTTAATAAATCTTGTAGAATATTTATTTATTATAATCATAATATATCACCTACACCTGCTTTGTTTGGCTTATATCTACCTCAGCAGTTCACGAAGGCATGCGTGGGAGTTCAAAATGGCATGTTCTAAAGTAGTTGTCTGCTACATGACGACGTGCTTTGATATATCATTAACAGTATATTACTACTTTTACACCGTGGTGTGTCCTATAACCCGGCACGTTCATTGAATTATGTTTTTGATATACCTACCATCAATGTAAAGTTGGGCATAAAAACACCATTGGTACTAACCTAACAAGTACCTACTTACAAAGACTAACCAACTTGTTACATGATGATGATACCTACATTACACATAAACAGAACATTTAGCAAAATGTTTTCAATTTGTCACAATGTGGGTGGAATTGTGGATCATAGTATTCTTATCACAATACGTAACCTTCATCAATGACTTACGCTGCTAATCATTATAAAAGGTCTCAGATACTTACTGTTTGCACAGCTTCTTGGGTCTGGTAGAGCAAGACGTCTCTGGGCATCTGCTACGCAGAGTACGGCCATCAAGGCGACAGCCGCCAGGCACACGTGCCGGCTCATCTGTACAGAGAAAAACCATAAGAATTATTGTGCCCACCCAGTTGTTACAGTTTTTGTACCATTGAAACTGAGCATGCTTGTTGATGCGAGACAACGGCTGAGTAGTGAGTAGGTGTGGTCGTTGAGCCGACTGCCGGGGCCGCCTCGGCCACCGACACTCAGCTGGTGGTACTGACACCGGTGTCGGGTGCTCATTTTGACGAAAGTGGTCACGGGTGAGCCCGTATTGCAAGTTCGCTTTCTTTTAGTTATGCAGAGCACGAATGCTCGAGGACAATCGATACGTGAGATGAATTTATTTTGTTGTATTTGTGAAAGCAAACTCGCCTCAGTGACCTCCTTGCTGCGAGTTAAATGTTTGCGTGAAAAGCTACTCAGTGCGAGAAATCGTTGATTTGGGACGCATTTTATGGTAACGGAAAGCCGTCGTTCACCTCATGTCACGATGCTTATTCAAACAGAAAAATGAAACGCTGTTATATAACTTTACAAGTTTTTGTTTGCCAGGTATGAATCACATTTGGTTAGACACCTGTCACGGAGAAAATTATTACGTAAAAATCGTGTCCGCATCGAGAAGAGAGTTCATTCATTGATTTATTTATTAACACTAAGTGGTATCAAGTTCAATTCGGAGGCGGATTACTTCTGGTACTTTACTTTTTAAATAAAATCATGTTACTCTTTTTATTCGTTACTGTTTCATAAAATATGTTTATGTACCTATTTTTATTTTATTTAAATACCACGGTGCCAATTTTGAGTTTGCTTTAAGACAATAATTGAAGTTTTCGTACCTATAGGTACAATATATTGACAAAAAAATAAAAAAAGCAGCGCTCAACTTTTTGTTGCAACGTGAAAAGCACGATTACACTGCGAAAAGTTTAAAACTTTCTGTTAGAATAATTTGATGTGGGGAAAGACTAGTGAAGAAGGTTAAATTACAATCCACTCACAACAATAAGCTTCAAAATATGTTCACTTTAAAATAATGACATTTTTGATAAAGGCAGCGCGTACCTCTGAAAATATGTCGAACGGAGTAAGTTGATGATGCGCTTGCGTGCGGCTGAGCGGGTGCGCGTGCGTCTGTGTCGGTACGCGGTGCACAGGTGTATAGTGCGACGGTGTCGGAGGTACTGACGCAGCCGCAGTTCTCCTCTCTAATTAAGCCTCCGACATTCATTCACTTTCACTTCCAATACCAGCGAAGACCCACCCGCTTCACCGCCGCACCTCTTCACCATAGAGAACCTAAAGACCTTCTGGAGGTCGCAGCCGGATACGAGAGTAAGTTTACATAACAAATACTAGTACTGTACACAATTACAGCTCAAATTAAATAAATTGGTCAGCTTTGAGTAAACTCGTGACCTGATTTTAACAAAGCTTTGATCGATGCAGACTTCTAGCGTAGAAAAACAAAAGCCTTCAGGGACGATCAACTTAATCACACAAATAGCTTCGGCGGTGCTTGCAAGCACTTGAGAAAATCTACATTTAGATCCTTATTATATACCCAGTGAATGCAAAGTTGACTTATTTTTACTGATTCTCTTGAAAACGACCTTGTTCCTCGCAGTGTGTTGTAATACAAGCTTGCGGTTGACTTTAAACCATCCTTAACATAAATATTTGTAAGGAATTAAATTTAGATACTATTTTCAAGGTGGGCAAAGCAATTGTCCATTATACACCTACATAGGTACATATATAAAAACTGCCATAGTAACTTTTAAATTGCATATACTTATTCAGACATTTTCAGATTCACGTGTAGGTATTCGTAAAACTGCTTGAAGGGTTCTAAGCCACTTGTGATTATGCAATAAAATAAAATAAAATTTTGTTGTCATTAATGTAGGCAGACATATTATTATGATGAATCCTATACAATTAATCGTGAGGCATTCATTTTTTTTTATATTAGACTTCATTAAACAAAGAAACCAAGTATTTACCAAATGATTAAAATAATCAACAAAAACAGAGATAATTCAAGTTGTACCTAATCAACGTCAAACTAAATACTTACCTAGATCATATTACAATGGCATTACTATAACTTAACACAGTAAAACGGGGTGAATAGAATTCGAAGGGTGAATAAATACTAGGAAAAAGAGTCAAAAAAGTGATTATGATTATGAGCTAAAATACTTGTTACAATTAGGTAATAATCATATGGATTTGTCATTCAAAAATTAATCTATTGAGTAATAATATTTTTCAACTGAAATTTGATTTAATTCCTTTTTAAAATATTGATCTGTCTGTCAAACATTAATAATCTCATTACTTGTATGACTTTATCGCGTACACTGGTACCGTTCACATCGTAGAATCAGCACGCACTCTACGCGTCTAGGCATAGTAGGCATTTAGCAAGCGGATAGGTGACCGCAAAGCAAGTGTGCTTTACCCATAGACTATAATAAGCAAAAACCTGCCTTATTAACTGGGTACGATGAAAGCAATTTAGGTACGATAGCTTTTTTCTAAACTTAATAAGGTAAGTACAATAGTATTTGCGAGTCAGAAAAAAAGTCTCTCTCATTACTTAAAAATTGTTGTCATACTGTATGTGTATGACAACAATTTTTAACACGATCGTTTTTTTAACAATTCGTGGACTGTGTCGTCAAAGATAATTTCCAGAATATTTTCATTTATTGACAAAGTGAAAAGGTACCTAAGTATATATGTAGCACTGATGCGGGGTCCACGCCAAGTAGTATTTAGGACCAGGCAGGCGTATCCTTAAATCTACTGATGTTGATGAGGTTTTATTAGGGAAGTATCCCACATTCCATTCCCTATATTTTCTCTCTCTAACAGCTAGTCGTGTTTAATTTAGTTTTTTTTACGGTGGATCATTATTAAAAATATTTTTGTATAATTAAAAATTAAGCGCGTTTTTCTAGGTGAGGCAAAAAAAATCTGAACCGAATCCGTAGTAAATCGCTCAACTAACCATTTCGTCATACCGTATTTCATGTTGAATCGGGATTATCAAATAATAGGTAAGTAAGTAGTCAATTACTCCGTAATCATCACAAATTGATTACTTAAGATGGGTTCATTTTCATAGTGTTAGGATCGTTACAAAAAGTTTACAATTAATAATTTTAGCATGTTATCTAGGTATAAGTATACTTGTACTATAAAAATCAATGCCACTTTTCGTTGTAATGTTATCTTGTAACTTAACAATGCCTTTATCTATTTGGCGAATTTTTGTCTTAAATTTATTCGTGAAAATCCAGAAAATGTTTACGTAGATAATATTAAAATCGACATCCACGTGGGCAGAGCCGCCGGCGACGGCTAGTAGGTATATTTATACAAACATAAAAAGTGAATGTCGTTAAGGTTAAATGATCGAAAATAAGTTTATTTTAAAATTAAGTATTATTCAATTAATAGCATTATTTAATGACCAGACTTAGATGCTAACTTACATAATAAAATCAAGAAATTAATTTTAAAGTATTGAACAATCCCGAAAATGTATTAATTTGCATAAATGCTGCATAATGTTTGGACGGGTCATGAGAAGAATGTGTGGATCGCGATTACGAGGAAGTCTTTGTGAATTTCAAATAAATGTCGAAAATTACGTATTATGTGTATAATACTTCCTCTATTGATGTATGTAGACATCCATAGTGTTATGTGTTGCGTAAACTGTTGTGAGTACATGACAAAAAAGAAACTACTCGTAAAATTACTTTTTTAATCGTTGCATGAAACTGATGACCTTTTTAATTAAATTACTACAAACTTTACTTGACGCAATAGTTAATAAAAGTCTCATCCAAACCATAAAGCCTTGTCTTTGTTTTATGTAGATGCATAGAAACTTTACATACCTATATAATACAATATATTACTCGTAATATAACCTGTAGATATTAATCAAAGCTACAATTTATACTATTTTGCAACTACTTATTCACAAACATGTGATTTACATGTATGCAACATCCAATGCATTTGTGCAATATACAAATGCAATGCAATGTAACGGATGCGAGGTCGGGTTACTGAATGATTTGATATAACCATTGCTACTATGAGTGAAAGTTAAATAATTGATATAAGTATGTAGCCCAGCTAACTATAAATATTAATATATTTACACCTGTGTGACAAAGGTCTTATTTTTGTCTTCTTTGCCTTGGTACGGTTAGTAGTGTGAGTACATAAAAAGTAAATCCAGTGTATTTAATTAAATCAACAAAGGTTAACTTATTTGCTTGAAAGCTTGCTTGAAACTTTCGATGCTGTAACAGCAAAGCATGGCGAATTTTTGCCCCACATCAGGATTTTCTTGTGTCGTGAGTATTACACAAACATACACATCACACCCAGACATTGAACAACAATTTGTAGATCACACAAAGAGATGTTCCGTGCGGGAATCGAACCCGCGACACGTTGCGCACTAACCGGATGCGGATTAGGATACCGGAGATTTGGAAATTGGAGAGGAATGGGGGAAAGAGAAGGATTGGACTTCCGGTAAGATTACTCACACTGCGAAACACGACGCTATGGTTGTTTCACGCCGGTTTTCTGTGTGGCTGATGATGAAAATTACAATTACTTGAATATTTTTCTTTATATGTAGGTAAGTATAGTGACCACCTAGTACCTAATAGGTACTTAGAGGTCGCCGTAGCACTGTGTCTGCGCAGAATTAAGATAATAAATAACGTAGGTACCTACTTTTCAATACGTAGAGTTACTTATACTTAAGTATTTTTAAGGTATTAAAGTTCACAATCAGCGAGGGAGATAACATTTTGCCAAAATTACTTAACCAACTCATATATTTTGAGAAAGTTACCTACTTGTGATGTAAACTATCATTTAATTAATATTAAACGTTTAAACTGTTGCGTAATTAAAAGCTGAGGTATTCTAGATTCTGCATATTTTTATTATCGTATTTGATGTAATATCTTAACAGTTGTTGAAAAATTTGCATTCTTTACTAAGTACATCGAATTAGGTAAGTAGATGGTGGATATTAGAGAGGTTTAAAGATTGGAGATTTGGGAGTAAGGTAGAATTGGGATAGGGTCTAAGGTAACTTCACTCACATGGGGAAATACAGAGAAAGTCTTGTTTCACAGCGATATTCTGTGAGGTCATACCTAGTATCTGTCCGATCAGGCCCGGCCTTTTGTGCCGAAGCATACCTAATTATGACTCCCCTACACTTAAAAGTTCGTGTTTTGAGATGGTGAATGTCCTACATGAAGTTAATATCCTGATATTAAATAATACATTAAATATTAAAGGTTGCAGGAAGCTAGGAGCGTAGTTCGCTTCCAACCGGTCTATTTCGCTGGAAGTCAGTGTGGAGGCCTATAGTCTGCGTGGATGCATTGTAGCTGATATGATGATGATGATTATATTTTATATTTAAGTATTAATGTTCAATATAGTAAGTATTAAGTTGTTCCTAGCCTTGTAAGTAGGTCCAGTAGCCTGCCCTATGAAAACTTGAAACACAGCCTGCACGGTAAAGCACGGCATATTAAATTCAGGGAGAATTTTAGATAGATGGACGTACGTCAGGTGTGTATGATCCGCTACATTACCTACCTACATCTCGCATTTAGAGGCTAACTGCACAGTTTACAGTCTTGCAATATTCTCGAAACGTCCCCAGCGGTATCCTCGACTTAGATAATTACCCACGAGGTTATTATCGAAAGGCTTGGAGAAGATGAACGTCGAGTGTAGTATGTTGCGCAATGCCAGCGACCGAGCGCCCGCGCCCCCCGCCGTACTCGTCTGGTATCTACATGACCACCGAGAGGTTACTGTTGCCCCCTGCCCCTTGCAGAAGCAGCATTCCACCTTTTACTATCTATAAAACTAGATTTTAAGACGTGCTAATTCTGCTTATTGTCGTTGTCTGTGCAAATGTGTTTTAATTATTATTTCACCAGTTATTTGAAACTATAAACGTAAAGTATTTTCATCTCGCGTAGACATATTTAGAAAAAGAAGGTACTTACTATAGGCACTGGAGCAGTTGAATCCATCAAAAGTTACGGCTTTTCGAACATAAGATTGTGAATTATTTTCGTATAATATAATCTCTCTCGAAAAATGTCAAATTAATGAAAATA